AGGGAGGTTATGGGATTCACATAGTGAGGCGAAGGATTTGAATTTATTCCTGCATACGAAGTGTCGGGTCTGGGTGAGACCAGCTGTAGACCAGTGAGCAAAGACGTGTGGTGCGGACCAGGCTGGGGGGAAGGCTGGATTGCGAAGGTAGGAAAGGAGGGGATTATGTGGTGATTGTAGGTAGAGATGAGCAAATCGAACATGGCGAAGTGGAATTCGTTTCGAATATCAGTAAAAATTTGATTCGCGCCGAATCCGAAAATTAGCAAACTTCGGATGCACGAATCAAATTTTCCCAAAAATGGCGGCGACATGTGTGGCGACGGAGCGGGGATCTCTGGGAAAGCGCGCAGACAAGGCGCGCTGACCCATAATGCATTCATTCATGACATGTGATCGCATTAGCCAATCAGCAGCCAGCCAGCCAGCACTGTGTAATGGTGGAGCTATAAATTGCGGCCATCTTACAATTCTCCATTAGCCTCCGGTCATTCAAGAGAGACAGACCTGTCTGTATTAGGGACGGAGTTAGGGCCAGAGAGACTTTAGGGCCACAGAATCGTTACTTAGGGACACAGAATCGTTACTTAGGGACACAGAATCGTTACTCAGGGACACAGAATTGTTACTCAGGGACACAGAATTGTTACTCAGGGACACAGACTCAGGGACAGAATTGTTACTCAGGGACACAGAATTTTTACTCAGGGACACAGAATCGTTACTGAGGGACACAGAATCGTTACTCAGGGAGGGACAGGGACAGAATTGTTACTCAGGGACACAGAATTTTTACTCAGGGACACAGAATTGTTACTCAGGGACACAGAATTGTTACTCAGGGACACACAGAATTGTTACTCAGGGACACAGAATTGTTACTCAGGGACACAGAATTGTTACTGAGGGACACAGAATTGTTACTCAGGGACACAGAATTGTTACTGGGGACACAGAATTGTTACTCAGGGACACACAGAATTGTTACTCAGGGACACAGAATTGTTACTGAGGGACACAGAATCGTTACTCAGGGACACAGAATTGTTACTCAGGGACACAGAATCGTTACTGGGGGACACATAATCGTTACTCAGGGACACAGAATTGTTACTCAGGGACACAGAATTGTTACTCAGGGACACAGAATTGTTACTGAGGGACACAGAATCGTTACTGAGGGACACAGAATCGTTACTGAGGGACACAGAATCGTTACTCAGGGACACAAAATTGTTACTGAGGGACACAGAATCGTTACTCAGGGACACAGAATCGTTACTGAGGGACACAGAATTGTTACTCAGGGACACAGAATTGTTACTCAGGGACACAGAATCGTTACTCAGGGACACAGAATTGTTACTGAGGGACACAGAATCGTTACTCAGGGACACATAATCGTTACTCAGGGACACAGAATTGTTACTCAGGGACACAGAATTGTTACTCAGGGACACAGAATTTTTACTCAGGGACACAGAATTGTTACTGAGGGACACAGAATTGTTACTCAGGGACTCAGAATTGTTACTCAGGGACACAGAATTGTTACTCAGGGACAGACACAGAATTCTTACTCAGGGACACAGAATCGTTACTGAGGGACACAGAATCGTTACTCAGGGACACAGAATTGTTACTCAGGGACACAGAATTGTTACTGAGGGACACAGAATCGTTACTCAGGGACACAGAATTGTTACTCAGGGACACAGAATTATTACTCAGGGACACAGAATTGTTACTGAGGGACACAGAATTGTTACTGAGGGACACAGAATCGTTACTGAGGGACACAGAATCGTTACTCAGGGACACAGAATCGTTACTCAGGGACACACACAGAATTGTTACTCAGGGACACAGAATTGTTACTCAGGGACACATAATCGTTACTCAGGGACACAGAATTGTTACTCAGGGACACAGAATCGTTACTCAGGGACACAGAATCGTTACTCAGGGACACAGAATCGTTACTCAGGGACACAGAATTTTTACTCAGGGACACAGAATTGTTACTCACTCAGGGACACAGAATTGTTACTCAGGGACAGACACAGAATTGTTACTCAGGGACACAGAATTGTTACTCAGGGACACAGAATTGTTACTGAGGGACACAGAATTGTTACTCAGGGATACAGAATTGTTACTCAGGGACACAGAATTGTTACTGAGGGACACAGAATCGTTACTGAGGGACACAGAATCGTTACTGAGGGACACAGAATCGTTACTCAGGGACACAGAATCGTTACTCAGGGACACAGAATTGTTACTCAGGGACACAGAATTGTTACTCGGGGACACAGAATTGTTACTCAGGGACACAGAATCGTTACTCAGGGACACAGAATTGTTACTGAGGGACACAGAATCGTTACTCGGGACACAGAATTGTTACTCGGGGACACAGAATCGTTACTCAGGGACACAGAATTGATACTCAGGGACAGACACAGAATTGTTACTCAGGGACACAGAATTGTTACTCAGGGACACAGAATTGTTACTGAGGGACACCCAGAATTGTTACTGAGGGACACAGAATCGTTACTCAGGGACACAGAATCGTTACTCAGGGACACAGAATTGTTACTCAGGGACACAGAATTGTTACTCAGGGACACAGAATTGTTACTCAGGGACACAGAATTGTTACTGAGGGACACAGAATCGTTACTGAGGGACACAGAATTGTTACTCAGGGACACAGAATTGTTACTCAGGGACACAGAATTGTTACTCAGGGACAGACACAGAATTGTTACTCAGGGACACAGAATTGTTACTCAGGGACACAGAATCGTTACTCAGGGACACAGAAATCGTTACTCAGGACACAGAATTGTTACTCAGGGACACAGATTCGTTACTCAGGGACACAGAATCATTGAATTAAAGAGTATGTCAGACAACACGCAGAGGAGTGGCAGAGGAGGCAATGTTTCAAGTAGAGACGAGCGAGCAGACGTGGCAGCAGAGGAAGGGGGTCGAGGCAGCACTAGTCGCAGCCAGAGGCCAGTGCTCCCGGTGTCATCCAGCGGTCGTGTCTCCACCGACAACCCTGCCGTCATCGATTGGTTGGCTCGGTCGTCTTCCTCTTTCCAGGTCACCTCTGACACCTACAGCCAACGGTCGGTGGGTACGTCAGACACAACCGTTAGTTCATGGCCCGGGAGCAAGCCCACTGAAATCACGTGTCCTCTACCTGCCCTGTCCTTTGGTGTTCCCTCACCAAGCGAAGTATCGCATGCTGTGGGCTCAGCCCCACTGTACAGTGAGGAAGAGCTAACAGAGGGCGGTCAGGAACGGGGGGAGACATCCGCCTCTTCAGCAGCCAGGCGAAGAAGTACTGGCGGCCAGGAGAGTGGCTCGGTAGCCGGTCTAGAGACAGGTCTGTCTCCTGACCCACACGCAGCCGAGGGGGCTATGTAGTGAGGCGGAGACCCTAATTGATGATGATGAGGCTGATCGCACATTGGCAGCCTCGTCGTCATCTGCCAGGCCCGTAATCTGCCAGGGGCCCCCGTACCGACTCCTCATGCTGCTGCCAGGCCCGTAATCTGTCATGGGCCCCTGTACCGCAGCTCCTCATGCTGCTGCCAGGTCCAGAGTGTGTCATGGGTCCCTGTACGGCCTCCCATTGCTGCTGTCTCCATCGCCACACTCTGCCATGTGCCACTTTCAGGTCTCCTCCTCACACTGCTGGTGGGTTCCATTTTGTCATAGGGTGCTGGCAGATTACGGGCCTCCCCTTTGCTGCTGCCAGGCCCGTAATCTGCCATGGGCCCCCGTACCGACTCCTCATGCTGCTGCCAGGCCCGTAATCTGTCATGGGCCCCTGTACCGCCTCCTCATGCTGCTGCCAGGTCCAGAGTGTGTCATGGGTCCCTGTACGGCCTCCCATTGCTGCTGTCTCCATCGCCACACTCTGCCATGTGCCACTTTCAGGTCTCCTCACACACTGCTGGGTGGGTTCCATTTTTGTCATAGGGTGCTGGCAGATTACGGGCCTCCCATTGCTGCTGCCAGGCCCGTAATCTGCCATGGGCCCCCGTACCGACTCCTCATGCTGCTGCCAGGCCCGTAATAATCTGTCATGGGCCCCTGTACCGCCTCCTCATGCTGCTGCAGGCCCAGAGTGTGTCATGGGTCCCTGTACGGCCTCCCATTGCTGCTGCCAGGCCCGTAATCTGCCATGGGCCCCTGTACCGCCTCCTCTTGCTGCTGCCAGGTCCAGAGTGTGTCATGGGTCCCTGTACGGTCTCCCATTGCTGCTGTCTCCATCGCCACACTCTGCCATGTGCCACTTTCAGGTCTCCTCACACACTGCTGGTGGGTTCCATTTTGTCATAGGGTGCTGGCAGATTACGGGCCTCCCATTGCTGCTGCCAGGCCCGTAATCTGCCATGGGCCCCCGTACCGACTCCTCATGCTGCTGCCAGGCCCGTAATCTGTCATGGGCCCCTGTACCGCCTCCTCATGCTGCTGCCAGGTCCAGAGTGTGTCATGGGTCCCTGTACGGCCTCCCATTGCTGCTGTCTCCATCGCCACACTCTGCCATGTGCCACTTTCAGGTCTCCTCACACTGCTGGTGGGTTCCATTTTGTCATAGGGTGCTGTATGGCCTCCCATTGCTGCTGCCAGGCCCGTAATCTGCCATGGGCCCCCGTACCGACTCCTCATGCTGCTGCCAGGCCCGTAATCTGTCATGGGCCCCTGTACCGCCTCCTCATGCTGCTGCCAGGTCCAGAGTGTGTCATGGGTCCCTGTACGGCCTCCCATTGCTGCTGTCTCCATCGCCACACTCTGCCATGTGCCACTTTCAGGTCTCCTCACACTGCTGGTGGGTTCCATTTTGTCATAGGGTGCTGGCAGATTACGGGCCTTCCATTGCTGCTGCCAGGCCCGTAATCTGCCATGGGCCCCCGTACCGACTCCTCATGCTGCTGCCAGGCCCGTAATCTGTCATGGGCCCCTGTACCGCCTCCTCATGCTGCTGCCAGGTCCAGAGTGTGTCATGGGTCCCTGTACGGCCTCCCATTGCTGCTGTCTCCATCGCCACACTCTGCCATGTGCCACTTTCAGGTCTCCTCACACTCTGCTGCTGGGTTCCATTTTGTCATAGGGTGCTGTACGGGCCTCCCATTGCTGCTGCCAGGCCCGTAATCTGCCATGGGCCCCCGTACTGACTCCTCATGCTGCTGCCAGGCCCGTAATCTGTCATGGGCCCCTGTACCGCCTCCTCATGCTGCTGCCAGGTCCAGAGTGTGTCATGGGTCCCTGTACGGCCTCCCATTGCTGCTGCCAGGCCCCTAATCTGCCATGGGCCCCCGTACCGACTCCTCATGCTGCGCCAGGCCCGTAATCTGTCATGGGCCCCTGTACCACCTCCTCATGCTGCTGCCAGGTCCAGAATGTGTCATGGGTCCCTGTACGGCTTCCCATTGCTGCTGCCAGGCCCGTAATCTGCCATGGGCCCCCTGTACCGCCTCCTCTTGCTGCTGCCAGGTCCAGAGTGTGTCATGGGTCCCTGTACGGCCTCCCATTGCTGCTGTCTCCATCGCCACACTCTGCCATGTGCCACTTTCAGGTCTCCTCACACTGCTGGTGGGTTCCATTTTGTCATAGGCTGCTGTATGGCCTCCCATTGCTGCTGCCCAGGCCCGTAATCTGCCATGGGCCCCCGTACCGACTCCTCATGCTGCTGCCAGGCCCGTAATCTGTCATGGGCCCCTGTACCGCCTCCTCATGCTGCTGCCAGGTCCAGAGTGTGTCATGGGTCCCTGTACGGCCTCCCATTGCTGCTGTCTCCATCGCCACACTCTGCCATGTGCCACTTTCAGGTCTCCTCACACTGCTGGTGGGTTCCATTTTGTCATAGGGTGCTGTATGGCCTCCCATTGCTGCTGCCAGGGCCCGTAATCTGCCATGGGCCCCCGTACCGACTCCTCATGCTGCTGCCAGGCCCGTAATCTGTCATGGGCCCCTGTACCGCCTCCTCATGCTGCTGCCAGGTCCAGAGTGTGTCATGGGTCCCTGTACGGCCTTCCCATTGCTGCTGTCTCCATCGCCACACTCTGCCATGTGCCACTTTCAGGTCTCCTCACACTGCTGGTGGGTTCCATTTTGTCATAGGGTGCTGGCAGATTACGGGCCTTCCATTGCTGCTGCCAGGCCCGTAATCTGCCATGGGCCCCCGTACCGACTCCTCATGCTGCTGCCAGGCCCGTAATCTGTCATGGGCCCCTGTACCGCGCTCCTCATGCTGCTGCCAGGTCCAGAGTGTGTCATGGGTCCCTGTACGGCCTCCCATTGCTGCTGTCTCCATCGCCACACTCTGCCATGTGCCACTTTCAGGTCTCCTCACACTGCTGGTGGGTTCCATTTTGTCATAGGGTGCTGTTATGGCCTCCCATTGCTGCTGCCAGGCCCGTAATCTGCCATGGGCCCCCGTACTGACTGATCCTCATGCTGCTGCCAGGCCCGTAATCTGTCATGGGCCCCTGTACCGCCTCCTCATGCTGCTGCCAGGTGCAGAGTGTGTCATGGGTCCCTGTACGGCTCCCATTGCTGCTGCCAGGCCTGTAATCTGCCATGGGCCCCCGTACCGACTCCTCATGCTGCTGCCAGGCCCGTAATCTGTCATGGGCCCTGTACCACCTCCTCATTGCTGCTGCCAGGTCCAGAATGTGTCATGGGTCCCTGTACGGCTTCCCATTGCTGCTGCCAGGCCCGTAATCTGCCATGGGCCCCTGTACCGCCTCCTCTTGCTGCTGCCAGGTCCAGAGTGTGTCATGGGTCCCTGTACGGCCTCCCATTGCTGCTGTCTCCATCGCCACACTCTGCCATGTGCCACTTTCAGGTCTCCTCACACTGCTGGTGGGTTCCATTTTGTCATAGGGTGCTGTATGGCCTCCCATTGCTGCTGCCTCCACCGCCACACTGTGGCCCCACACTCTGGTTTTGGCCCCGTGACTGCCCAAATGAGTGAAGTGTGCGGTGATTCTAAGATCGACGGCACTCATCTGCATGTCATACTGACTGACAGTATTATTTCTCTTCCCCAGCAGACTCTCAAGGGCATTTAAATTAAAGGTACAGTGTTCTGCACTAATATAAAGGCTCTCTGAAGCCTAGAAACACCCTTTTTATAAGTTAAATTCGCAGCGAATATATTCGACTCGAATCGAAATTACTCCGCGAATTCGCCGAATCAGCCGAATCAAATTTTTGAATAATTCGCTCATCTCTAATTGTAGGAGATAACGGGACTTCAGTTTATCCCAGAGGGACAAAAAATGCGAGGTAATGGGATTCGCAATCGTGCGGCGATCACACGTCTCAGCCAAAGAAGGTTTCCTGTACTAAAGGGGTCGCACTCAATGGATTCCAGAATGGCCCACTGCGGGGTTTCATTGGTAGCATGATACTTTGGCAATTGTGCTACATGCGCCGCTTGGTAATACTTGCTAATTTCAGGGAGGCCCAGACCACCATGAATTTTTGGTCGGTATAGAGTAGAGCAAGGAACACGGGGCGGACTTTACCCCAAACATAGGAGGAAATACGGCGCTGCAATACGCGAAGGTAGTGAGAAGGTACTGGGATAGGGAGAACTCTGAAAAGGTAAAGGATTTTGGGGAGGATCGACATCTTCACAACAGCTATCCTGCCCAGCCAAGCCAACGGAAGGGAGGAACATTTGGTCATTAGTGCCGTTAGACGAGCTAGCATAGGAATTTAGTTAGCTGTATAGAGACCTGAAATATGCGGGGTGAATTTTTATACCCAAAAAGGGAACAGAGTCTTGCGACCACGAGAATGGCAGGATCAATTTTAGATGGTTAAGTTCATTGGGTGGGAGCGAAATATTAAGTGCAAGTGACTTCTGGGGATTTATTTGGAGGCCCGAGAGCATCCCAAACCTATCAAGTAGCTGAAGAAGAGTAGGTGTGGATGTTAAGGGGGAGGTGAGAAAAAGTAAGACATCATCTGCAAATAAGCACAGTTTATGTGTGGTGCCTCCTATCTCAAGTCCGCGGATATCCGGGTCAGTCCTAATCAATAGGGCCAGCGGTTCTATAGCTAATGCGAAAAGCAGAGGGGATAGGGGACAACCTTGTCTGGTGCCACGCATAATTGGGAAATGAGCAGAGCGATGCCCTAAGTATTTGATCCTGGCCGAAGGGCCCTGGTAGAGAGAAAAGATCCAGGTTAAGAAATGCGGGCCAAAACCCCAATATATAGTGTAGGTATGGCCACGAGACAGTGTCGAATGCTTTCCGTATGTCCAAGGACAAGAAGCAAGCAGGAATATTGCGAGTTTTGGCTAAGTGTGCTAAAAGGGATGCACGTCTGACGTTGTCCCCCGCTTGTCGGGTTGGTATGAAGCCGACCTGATCATTGTGGATTAGGGATCCAATACATGTATTGAGGCGAGTAGATAGAATTTTAGCTAGGAGTTTAAACATCTACGTTAAGAAGGGAGATTGGTCTATAATTGGACCATTGCGTGTCATCTGAGTTCGGCTTGGGTATCATAGAAATGTTGGCTTGCACTGTATCTGAGTTAAAGGTATGGCCTGAAAGTATGGCATTAAACGCATTAGTTATAACAGGCGTGAGAATGGGGGCAAACTTTTTATAATACGTGGCAGAAAAGCCGTCGGGTCCTGGGCGTTTACAGGGCTTTAGGGAATTGATAGCATTTAAGGTTTCAATTACTGAGATAGGTCGCTCCAGTGCTCCTAAGTGAGTCTCAGCCAATTTCGGGAAAGGAGGGGAAGCAAAAAGGGCTTCAGCATGGGAAGAGTCAAAGGGCGTGGAGGCAGAGTAAAGGCGCGAGAGATGCTTGTGGAAGGTGTGCAGAATCCGTTCGGGTTGCTAGAGAGATTCGCAGTTGAGGTCCATAACCGTTATGGGTCTAACAGTTTGGTCTAGTTTACGGAGGCAGAGAGAGCAAGGAAAGTGCCAGGTTTATTGGCTTTAGTGTAGAATTTGTGTTGAGATCTGCGGATGGAGAGCTCGGCTTGGTCAGTGAGGAAAAGATCCAGGGCTAGGCGGGTGTGCTCGAGAGCTTCTTTGTTAGCAGGGGGAGATATATATCAGCTAATTTGTTAGTGGGGGAAGTTTAGAAGGCGGCATGGGATTGGGTCATAAGCTTGTTCAAGGAAGAGGCGTTTCTGCCTCCTCTCTCTACTCAGGAAAGGAGGCTTTTGCTTGATACAGAGTCCGCGAAGTACCGGTTTGTGTGCTTCCCATAGTAGAAGGGGGGAGATATCAGGGGTTTGATTTAAGGAGAGATAGTCCTTAAGCGCAGCTGCTATCTCTGAGCAATAAACTGGGTCAGCCAGCAGGTTTTTCGTTAATGATCCAGGAGGGGATCGGGGGGGAGCTGGGGCCAAAAGAAGCAATGGTAGTGACCACCGCACAGTGATCCGACCAAGGGATCGGTAGGATATCAGAAGCTAAGATGCGGGGGGAAGAAATGGCGGTCAAAAAAATATGATCTATTCTCGAAAAAACCTTATGTGGGTGGGAGTAAAAAGTATACTGACGTTTAGTGGGATTGAGTTCCCTCCAGGAATCGACCAATGAGTAATGTTGCAGTATGGATTGGAAGGAGTGGTTGGGGGTGCGCGAAGAAGGTGATTGTGGGGATTTATCTAAGAAGGGGTATATTATATGGTTAGAGTCTCCACAGAGTATGAGCGTGCCTCGCTTATGATGATCTATAACCGAGAAGAGGTGGGAAAGGAACGGCAGAGGACCCTGGTTCGGAGCGTAATACGTGGCTATGGTGACCTCAAAGTCCACCAACTGCCCAACCAGTATGATATAACGACCCTCAGGATCCTTAATCTCAGTTTGTAACTTAAAAGGAGTTTGTACGGTGGAGGGCGACTAAAACCCCTCTACACTTAGTGGCAGCAGAGGCCACGTAGACCTGTGGGTAACGAGGGCCAAAGAATTTGGGAATAGAGGTAGGAGTGAAGTGTGTGTTTCCTGAAGACAGACTATATATGCATTATGCGACGCAAATGAGCGGAATGCTTTGTTGCGCTTCTGCGGGACATTAAGACCCTGAACATTCAGGGTGAGAATATTCAAGGAACCCATGGGTAGAGCAAACAATGGGTAAGCGGACAGTGAGGTACCATCACGAGGAATGTTATGTCAATTTGGCGCCGGGAGGGTATGCGGTTACTCGAGCTAAGCTTTAACGTGCAGTCGTATGCGAGAGCAAGGGTGGGGAAGGGGGGAGGGGAGGGTATTCTATGATAGACACTGAAGAAAAAAACATAAAAGAACCCCCCCAAGAAAGAGGGAAGAAAAAAAACAAAACAAAAAAAACAACAAAAAAAACAACGGTCCCCGGGAGCACCCAAAACCTGGTGGCCTGGGGAACAGATGCAGCCCAGGTGGTGTAAAAAAATGGAACACCAAGGGGGCTAGTGGTGAGTGCGCAGAAAAGAAACGCAGGCGGCTAGGAAGACAGCATGTAGACAAAGGCATATTAAAGTGATCCTGGTAGGAAGAAAGCATCAAAACCAACAAGCAAAAAGCCCGCAGAGCCCCGGCACCGGTGGCCCCGGTCAACCTGGTCCGGCCCCTGAGAGGTCGGAGCCAAACCCAACCCTAGGTATCCCGCCAGGTGGGGAAACAGCGGAAACGCCGGAACCGAGGGTCCGCCAGGTGAGGTAAAGGTGCAACAGCAGTCCAAACATGGCGTACATCAAACAAAACAATAGACCAATATGATTCCCAACCCGAGCAGCATGTATCCGGTGCTGGTCAGGCTTAAGTAAAAAAAACACGAAACACAAAAAACAACTGAAGCACAACAGACCAGTATAAGGATACAAAGTTGCAACGACGGCAGTCAGGTTGACAGTCAATTGACTAAACCCTGTGGGTGGCGACTGTGTGGGTGGTAACGGACCACCACATAAGGATGCAGGATTAAGGATCAAAGGTGGTCAACGGGATTCAGTCCATTGAATCTTTGTGGTGAGGGAGCAGGAGAGGAAAAGCGTCCCCGCTTGTGTGCATTTAGGTTAGGAATTCGTGACGGCTGGGATTTCTGCGGTGAGCATGACGCCGAACGCCTGCTGGAGGTCTTAATCTGTGCAGCGGGAGGGTGCAGCTGGAGGTTTCGTAGCGCGTCCTGAAGCTCGTCAGTAGTCTTGCATACGTAGTCACGGGCTTGATGGCGGAAGCGTACCGCAAAGGGAAATCACCATTTATATGGTATACTATGCTGTTGTAGCACTAGCAAGTGCGGTTTCATAGCTCTGCGATTTGGTAATGGTAGTAGGGCAAAGGTCCTGAAACAGCTGGTAATGGTGACCTTGAAACAGGAGGACTCCGAATTGCGGGCGGCTTGTAGTAGTTGCTCCTTTGTGCGGAAAAAAAATGAAGTTTAGCTATGATGTCCTCGCGGCGGGCCGTCAGTGCGCTTTGGAGCTAGTGCCCTGTGAACCCTATCCATCTCGAGGCGTTCTATTGGTGATAGCGGGGGCGAGCTCTTGGAAT